TTTGATGGATAAAACTCTCATTTTCGTTCTAAGAGTCATAAATAGGGATTCCACATAAAATCATCATAAATTATCCATTTTATGTTCAAATGCTTGAGAAAAAGGGAATAAATCATCAAAGGATCAAGTTTCGGGCTTGAACGAGCTTCCGAGAAGATAAAATCGACGTTCGGGCCGAAAATCAGTGAAATTGGGCCAAGATCTCGTAACAGCCGCGAAGCCCAACGGACCAAGGCCTCAAGGCATCCAACTTGGACGCTTGGCCAAGTTGGACGCTTGGAGTTGGACGCCTTGGCTCGATTGCAGATCAAGGAAAACACATGGCAAGCAGCGAATGGACGGGCCGCGTAAGGCGTCCAACCTTGGATGCTTTGGATCCGGACGCTTTGACTTAGACGCCTCGGCCTCTGTCCTATAAATACAGCGCAACTCTCCCTATTCAATATATCACTTTCATCCCCTCTCTCGGGATTTTAGCTTATTATTACAATTCCAAATACTAGTTTATTATTATAGTAGTTTTAGAGTAATTTTTGGAGGAATTCTACTCCCGATCTGTTCTGTTCCGCTTTTACGAAAGTTGTAAGTTTTCTTCATTTAATAAAGATGCTGTTTTAATTTATGTTTGCATAGTATGAGTTAGGGTCCGGATCTCTGGGTTCGGACTAGTTTGGTTGTTTATTTTATATGTTAAATTAATGTTAGGATGGTTAATCTATTGTTCTTGCCTTATTTGGTTAATTAATCTCGTAAAATTTAATTGGCCATTTATTGAGAAAATGTTGTATTCCAAAGGGCTATGATATTCAAGAGCGACGGATTAAGTACAAATCTAGAAATGGATGAGTAATAATAAAAATATTATTATTCCAATTGTTAATTTAATATGATAAAATAGATCCAAATGGTGTCCTGACCCTAGGTACAGACCTGCACTTATACTATGTAAACTTAATTTATTATTTTTACTCCACTCCCTTTTTACAATCGCTCCGAGAAGACTTTCATAAACCAATCCTAACCTTCGCCTAGTTAGAGTAATTAAACTGATTCCCTTCGTCCACTCCTCGAGAGACACGACACTCGGAGAGAAAACTAACCCTTTATTGGGAAGGTTTACTACCCGTAAAACTACTACTGTCAAATGGCGCCGTTGCCGGGGAGTGGCACGGCATTAGTTTAATTGCTTTTAATTAGTTTGGGGGAAGATTGGTTAGAACGATCTTCTCACTTCTTTTTACACCAACCACCTGTAATAATTATTATGGATAACTCCAATGGTTATTACGGTCCGCCTTCTTTCTACCGATCACCCAACCGCCCTCCGTTTCAAACCCATCCACCTTACCGCCCACATCAATACCCATATGATGATGACTACCAAGTCAACAATGGGTCTGACTACTATTTCCACCGTGAGGAACCACCATATGATAGTCTAGGAACTTTGGATATTCTCCACACCTAGACACTGATGAGGATAACTATTATGAACCTCATGGAGATAACAATGACTATGACCAATATGGGCCTATGTGCGACGATCAATCTGATCCACTCGTCGAAGAGATCATAAGATTAGAATAGAAAATCTTCTATTTCGACGAAGTTTTATTCGCTGAAGGCTTGTAACGCCACAAAATATGGCCTAAAATTTATTATAAAACAAAAGTAAATTCTGTTCGATAAGGAATATTTATACGTTTGACCAAAAATAAATGGACTTTCAAAATAATGACTTTTTGTTAAAAACTTATTTTTATGGATATGTCTCAAAGAGACGAATCCAATGGTACATTTTATGAACCAATCTGATTTATAGATTTGAAGATATGACGATTTTAAATATTAAAATTTGTAACTTTGACCCATGAAATAAACTCAATTCAAAAGTGATTTCATAAAATTAGAAATCTTAATCTCTAACACTTGACAACACCATATTTATCATTTGAATTTTATTCATATATTTTTATCTCATTCATATTATTAAATTAATTTATGACAGAGACAGACCAGACATTAAGAAAAATAAAAGTTCCCAGAAAAACATTTTGATTACGTCAAAATTCTAGTTTTGACAGTCTCATTCCAAAATCGCAATCCGTTTTCATTTGGGAACAGTTTGGGCGAAAAAGCGCGTACCGTTTGGAGTAAACTGTTCAGTTTTGGCAAGAAGCCAAAACTTTATTTTCCCAAATCCCTCCCAACATCACGTAGCCAACCTAGGAGATATCCACAATCTCATTATAATCCTCCACTAACTTCATTAATACAATACTCCAAACTAATTATATAATACTCCCAAAACCACTATTATCATTATTATCATCACGTTCCACCATCATCCATCCACATGCATCAACCTCTCTTCATCTCTCTCTCTGTCGGCAGCAACAAGAAGAAGAAAAGAAAACTCCAACTCCATGGTAGTATGTTAAGGAAGAAGAAGAAGGAGCAAGAAAACCATTCAAGTGTCCAAAATCCTGAGCATAAGACAATCAGTCCACTTGTGAGTCAATTCTGAAATTTTCCGTTCATTTTCTCAAAATGTTTATTATACCAAAGTTGTAGCCCCGGACGTTACGAATCCAACCAACAAACGGCTCGCGATTTCGTTAAGTAACAAAGAAAATATGGCCAAAATACCGGGACTGCACCAGTGGTGGCGAGCTCCTCGGGTTGGCATGTTTTTCTTCACCAAAATTCATATTATTTCATCCCAAATACTTACCATAAACTCTCTAACAATTATTAGGAACATCCGGAAGGTAT